CATGCAGCACGCCTCGTGGAGAGCACTGTCTCGACCCGCAATGGCGAAAATTACCACCATACCGTCCAAGTGTACGCAAAAAAGTGAAACTGGACGGGCTGGAGCCGTTTATATCCGGGATAAAGATCCGGCAGCCCGACGGAGATGGATATGATGTGATGATGGATGGACGGATGGATGGATATGCCGGATACGATGGATGTGTGGCATGTGCTTGTGGGATGGATAGTCTCTCGCACATAGACACAAGCGTAAAATGGGGGCGGTGGGGCAAGTGACAAAGCCGGACAAAGACTTTGCCCGTGTTCGTCATTATACGAGGTGCCCATTCCTAGGGCATGATGCCAGGCTTTCATCAAACCGAATTACCCGTTTTGAGTACTGGACGCGAAATATAGTTTCGAGCCAACGCAATCAAGAATGTTTACACTGCGTGTACAGTTGCGCCTTTTTGTCTGATGAGGTTGGCAGAGCCAATGAACCCTTACAAGACAACATAGACGCCATTCTTTAACCGTTCCGACGTCGGGAAACAATTCAGAAATTTGAATAATTGTCTAAAAAAGCAAGTAAAAATGAGATATGTGTCATGTTAGATCATATCTACATATAATGTATATATATATATATATATGTATATATATATAGCATTAGATCTTATATACTTAAGAAAATATATATACATATATCACGCAGACCAAACGGCGCCGGCCCACCTCTGCCTCAGTGGGCACCATGCGCTGCAGCAGCTCCACCATCTCAGAGGCAGCGTCTTCAGGTCCAGCATGTTGATGGCGCGCACCACCTCCTCGACAGGCCGCTCCAGCTTGCGCCGCGAGATCGCTGCCGGCGCGGCGCGGAAGGCGTCATGGCCGGCGGGGGGCCGGCCGGGACGACCCCGTCGCCAGGGGGTGTAGAGGGGGGGGGGGGGGGACGCTGGGTGACGCTCTCCAAACACGATTGGGGGGACGGCTCGAGTTTTTTACTTCGTGGGGAGTTCGTTACGTACCTCGCCGTCGGCCTGGTGATAAGATCTCAGATTAACCCCCCCCCCCCCCCTCCGAACAGTACATTAAGTACACGCCTGTTTCAGCGTGCACCGAGACCCAAGGCTTCGCGGAGGCCACTGGTTCGTCCACCACCGCCAAAGAGCGGCGGACCATTCCAAATAATGGGTGCACAGCATTCAGGGCCAAGCCGGGCGAAGAGCGCAGACGAGCCGCAGCCCGCGGCATAGCGCTGCCAGACAAGGACACCATGCCTGGGAGATGAGCCCGTTTTCTAAACATTTACACTGCCGGGTGAGTCACGGCACGCCCGCCACACCATGTCACAAACGCTATGAATCACGTGACTTCCAGCCACTGGCATCTTCCGGCCCATTCAAAGTCTCATCGGTCACCAGACGCGCGCGCCACAGCCGTCCGCCTCCCGTGGCCCGGCCCTCACCGATGTTCCTCAGCCGGTTGTGCTCGAGCAGCGAGGTCTTCTCGGGCCGCTTGAAGCGCTTGCTGCCGAGCGTGCCGAACGCGCCGTCGCGGCTGTCCAGGGTGCCATTGGCCAGCAGGCTGGTGCCGATCTTGAAGTTCTCCTCGAAGTCGGCGAAGTCGATGATGCTCATCAGCCTGTCGTCGTCCAGCTCGTTGAAGACGGTGCCGCGCACCTGGCGTGAGCGCGAGCGGCGTCAGCGGTGGGGGGTGGGGGGAGAGGGGGGTGTCTTGCCGGGTCAGGTCACCGGAGCCCACCGGTCCCAATCAACGGCAGCATAGCCACCCAGGAGCGGGACCTCGTATTACCGTTCATACAGAGACCAAACACCGATCGGCCCAAGCATTGATGCCTTTCCACGTCGAAGCCGGTACATCACGTGCCGATCCGCAAGCCAAGCACTGGACTCGATCACACGAGCAACCAATCAACACGAAGTCCAAACACGCTGGGTAGAGCTCGTGGCCGACCGCACAACACCGCTGTCCAGCGTAAATGTCGCAGCTCGCTCGCGGAGCCCGTCTGCCCGCCCGCACCTGGTTGGGCTTCAGCGCGATCCAGTTGAGCGTGGGCAGTTTGTGCTTGGTCTGCAGACGGCGCTTGATGGTGAGCGAGCCGTCCTGCGGCAGCTGCAGCTGGCCGGGCGGCGGCGGCGGCGGCGGGGGCCCGCCGCGGCCCGGCGGCAGCGGCCGCCCGGCGGGATCCTGCCGCCGGGCGGCGGCGGCGGCGGCGGCGGGGGAGCGGCGGCGGTGGCGGTGGCGGGGCCGCGCCGCCGGCGGCGGCCGGGCCCACCCCGGCGCCGGAGCCGGCCGCGCCGCCCCGAGCCCTGCGGTATGGTGAGCGCGAACGTCTCCAGCTGCTGGATCTTGCTCTCCAGCATGGACTGGCGCCGAATCGACTCCGCCTCCTTCTCAGAGGCCACCCGGCGCAGCGACGTCACCTCCTCAGTGAACTGTAAACCGAGGGCAGGGTCAGCAAGGAGGGCATGGTCAGCCCCGCAAGTTGGGCGCCGAATTCTCCCAGTTTGACCTAACCCGCGACCGAGCCTCGGCAACAGCCAAGTGCCAATGCGCCACCGTCACCTTTCCATCCAACGCTGACCTCGCTACGACACCGTATCTGCACCCACTTAGGTCCAAACCTCACCACGTCAGTCACGCCCTCCGGGATCTGAGCTGTCCCACCCACGCGGGAGTCCGCCACGATGACGTCCTCACCTGCTGCATCTTCTCCAGCAGCTCGTCCCGCTCGCGCCGGATGTCGGCAGTGGCAACCTCGAGGTCGGCCACCTTCTGCATGGCCTCCAACCTCGACCTCCTGTAGCTCCTCCTGCGTCTGCGCCAGCTCCGACTCCAGCTCCTCCACCTTCTCGATGTAGATGGCCTTGGTCATCGAGTCCTCCATCAGCGCGCCCACATCGAACACGTTGTCCAAGTACGCCGAGATCTGCACCTGAGGAGCACGCGGGGAACATGGGGTAAGTTCAGCACGGCACCCAGGCCACCAGAAGGTAGAACAGCCTCGGGACGGCACCATGCGGTGACCACGGACGTCAGCGGCGGTCCGCACGAGGCCGAGCAACCCGGCGTCAGTGAGGCTGTCGCGAGTCTCGGAGAGTCTCGCGGAGTCTTCCGGAGTCTCGCAAGCCGACCGGGCGGTCCGCCTGCGGTTCAGCTCAGCGCGACAGGTGGCCAGCGGGCAGCCTGGCGACTGCAGTCTTAAAGCACGCCAGCTAAAGTCGTCAGCGGCGGGCCGGCGCAGAGCGGCGCGCGCGACGCGGCCACCGATGGGCCGGCGCTCTTCCGCAGGACGGGAGGCCGCCAGGCGGCTCCGCTCTCACCTGCAGCTCCTCCGCTCTCCGTGTGCCGCAGCTTCTCAGGTACTCGTCCAGCCCCAGCATGGAGAACTCGTACTGCAGGTGCACGCCGGAATTTCATGGTCCTCCACCGAGTGCACCACGATGTTGATGAACTGCATGCAGGCCACCTGGGGAGGGTGCGGGCGGGTCTCAGGCCGGCTCGGCGAGCCAGAGGATGGCGCCCACCCCTCCGATCGCTCCACCGGAGCCGGCAGAATGAACTGCAAACTCGCCGAGTACTGCTATCGCAGAATCCCAGCGCACACACTGATCGGAGCCTTTCGGCGACGGATGCTGTGGCACATCGATGCCCCAGCGCGGAGCCAGCACAGTAAGCGGCCTTTCAGTACGCCGGCAGCCGGTCGCGTCTCCTGAAGTGGATCATGGAAAAAATAGCCCGCTGTTTCGCGAACACAGTTTATACCAAGGCTGGCCCAGGTTACGACCGAGCACCCGCATTAAATGAGCCTTTTGACCACGTACCGAGCTGGGGACGCTGATTTCGAAGAGGGAGACCTAAATATGACACAGTTACCTACCGGGTTACGCATGTTTGGCGCCTACACACAACACCACCAGCACTTTAACTTACCATGAACTCGATGTGGAAGACTTCGTAGTGGATGAAGTACTTCATGAGCGTCTGGAAGCGACGGTCCTCGGAGCATACCTCCTTGAAGTTGGTGAAGGCGCCCAGGATGATCTGGTGGCCGCCCTTCACCAGACAGATGGCGGCCAGAAGCTCCAGCAACCAGCGCCTTGGTCCTGGCCGGCGCAGCACGGGCAGCAAGGTCAGCGGCAGCAACGGAGGCGCCCCGCCCCCCCCCCGCGAGATGGGAGGTGTCCATAGTGATGGACGGCGACCACCCGGGCTGTTAGGACCGTGACAGCCGGGGTTCCGGTGCCCGCGCTGTGGCCACTGCGAGCACGAACGTCGCGGATGCGGTCTGGGAAAACCCGTCGGCGCGGCACGACCGGCGCGGGTCACGGGGCATTCGCTCGCAGCTCGGCGCCGGGGACTCGCACGACACCCCGCGGCCATCGCGGAGACACGAACCCCCCCCCCCCCCGAGAAAGCGGGCGTCACCGCGCTCCCACGGCGCGGACGCCCCGGCAGCCCGCGCCGCTGGTCAGCCGCAACCGCCCGGGCGTCCGTGACGTCACCGCGCTAAGCCGAGCCGGCTCAGCAGACGCTCACGACGCGACCGCAGCATCCGCCGCCGGCACGGCACCGCGCCGGCCGACCGGAGCCGCGGCTGGGCGCCGGGGCGCCTCCGCCCGTGTCAGCAGGCTGAGGCGCCGGAGCCCTGGGCCGGCGGCGGCGGGCCCGCAGGACGCCCGCAGGCGCAAGGCCCGCTTGCGCGGGCGCTTGTCCGTGCGCAGCGCCGTCGCCTGACCCGGCCCGC